TTTAACAAAAATCCCTTCCCGTACCGCATGTGACCATTCAAAACCATAATAGTACATTCGATTCTACTACCGCATGTGACCATTCAAAACCATAATAGTACATTCGATTCTACTGAGTGCAAACTTTGTAAATAGATTACTTGTTTATCTGAGTTTCGTCTCATATGTTTTACTATAGGTGGTTTGAGTGAGACATTTATTTCAAATTATATAAATTAATTTTCCCCAAATTAGTTGAACGTATAGCAAAATCGAGATATATGGTACTAAATCCAAAAGAAAAAAAAAACTAAGATCTCTTCAAGCTTAATTAAAATTTAATCACTCTAATAATTTATTTAATAAGCTCCAAGCTTATCTATGTTCGTCTTCAGCTCCAAAATCCCATTGATCATGGCCAAACATTTTGTTGAAAACAAAACAAGAGAAACCCCAAAACTAGAGATACTTGGTCCATGTGACCTTCTACCTACAATAGTGAAGGTTCCTCAAACAAATAGGAAACGAACATGTTTGCCTTGTGATTGGTAATTATAGAATTTTTGTTGGTTATGAATGCTAATTTCTTTTTTTATAAAGTAAATAGTTGGGATAAAAAAAAAAGTGGGACAATTAAAAGAAAAATATAGTAAAACTTTCCTCCTCTTTATGGTGGAGTAAAAATCCCTTTGCTTTTATGTCTTTCCCTCTCTTTTTAGTTGAAAATGGCTGTCAATTTTTCATCTTGATTGGTGAAAAACTAGAGTAATTGAAAGTAAATATTAATTTAGCTGAAATTTTTACTCTAAAAGACACTATCATTCATAGTATTTGGGTGTGAATGGTGTGTATTGGAGTAAAAGGATAGAAAATAGAGAAATTAAAAGAGGAGGGAAAAAATTAAAATTTAGAGTAATTGGACAGAAAACAAATTCCACCTCCATTTGTTGGTAGGATGATTTACTCTAAAAATAGAGGGAAGCAGAAAGAATTAATTTACTCTAAAAAAATTTGTTTGGATGAAAGTGGAGGGAAATAGAGAAAAATGAGTTATTCCAAAAAAACATGATTGGATAAAAAAATAGAGGAACTCAGAGTAAAAAAAGATTTATCCTTTTTTCTTTACTCCGATGATACCATCCATTCACAGCCTTTAATTCTAAAATTTTAAAAAAGTTTTCTAAGAGATTAATTTTTAGCATTTTTTCATTCTTTAACTAACCACAATATGTTTTGATCTTTCCACAATATACATCAATATTGGGTTGACATAGCTAATTCATTTGGTTATACATCTACTCTAATTAATCGGTTAGGCTTCTTTTTCATACAATGAGCTATATGCCCAAATCTACTAATTAATCAACTAGAGGTTTGACGAATTGATTAAAGTTGTAGTATATTAAATGATCAATTAGCACCTAACATGTTCTAATATATAGATA